GCAATACTTGATTGATTGATTATTAAAGGAATACCGAATGGTTTTCCGTGCAGGATTGCGTGATCCATGCACGAGGGATGTCGCGAGACTTTCGGAAAGTGTAAAAGTACTCGAGCTGCAGGCGAGTGTATTTTCACACTTTTCCGAAAGTCGAGCAACATCCCAAGTGCATGGATCACGCTATCCTGCTTGGAAAACCATTTGGTAATTGTTTTATAAAATAACTGCAGTGAAACTATGACATTTTGAAAATCCCGCGAAGGCATTATAATTCCTCGTGCAGGATAGCCTGATCCTGCACGACTATTGACCAATAAAATTGCTGTTTCACTGTAGTTATTATATAAAGGATTTTCTCACACCTTATTACTAATTATTTCTTAACAAATGTACACAAACGTATATTTAACTTGGGCTTCTCCAGGCGGTAATCAGTGCTCGTGGAAACGGTAAATTTTACCGGTTACCGCCTGATAAGGAGAACCCTGAAGCAAGATATGACAAATCGGTAAGAGAGCACAATTTTAAGAGTTCTTTTGGATGAGACAAACTATTTTTTATTGCCAATGTCCTTTAAGTGAATGGTACTTTAATGTACCATTCTTGCCAATGTCCTTTAAGTGAATGGTACTTTAATGTACTTTAATGTTATTTTTGTGTATCTTATTCAATTGCAAGGTCCCAGTTCAAGATGTCTTTGATTTCATCAATAATACTCTTGGGGGCAGAAAAGGTACAGTATACTGCACACGGTTGAAAGGTTTATGTAGAGATGGAAATTTGCAGCGTAAATAAGCTACATGCATTTTTAAAGGGCACATGACTCGAAAATTGACGTTGTTATTTTTTAGTCTAATTTGAAAGATCATTGAAAACTGTAGAGTAACTTCTTTGATAGATTTTTGTTTTCTTGCTTCGTTTTGAAGATATTTCATGTTGTATGATATGCAAAGGACCAACTTCCTACGTCATATATGCATAATGATTTAATTTAATTTAATTTAATTTAATTTAATTTAATTTAATTTAATTTAATTTAATTGCTTTTCCATCATTGTGTGATATAGACATAAACACATACGCACCCACACAACACAAACACAAACACACTAAACTGATGGCTGGGTAACCACAACAGCCTGAAAAGCCAATTACTGTGGGCCCAAAAGATTAAAACACAAACATATATACAATTAAAACGCCTAAAAACAGCAGTTCACTGGTTCGGTTAACGTTCTTGCACTGTTGCATTTCGGGCAGATAGTTTTAAATGTTCTTGGATCATCACATTCGTACGCTTTGTCCAATGCGGCAAAATAATATCTTTGCATTACTGACTTAAACGTGCACAGGTGTTCCATACTTAAGTCTAACGTGTCCGTTAAAGTGTTCCAAGTTCTGATTGTTCTAATCCAAAAAGATTTTTGGAAAGTCGTTGTTCTGCATTGCGGTACTTCGTACTTCGCTGTATTGGTGTTGTTAGAAGCTCTTGTGTTCAGTCTCGTTTTCTTACGTAAAACAAAGGACGAGTTTGTTAAGCCGTGGATTACTTTGAAAAAGTACACCATATCAAGATACTCGTGCCAATAGCATATTGGAAGTAGTTGGAGAGCCTGCAGTCTGGATGTATAGTCAACAGAACAAGTAAATGGCAGGTTAAGGATGAATTTCGTCGCACGTCGTTGAGTTCTTTCTACTTTCGTCAGTAATTCAACCGACTGAGGTGTTCATACTTGGGTCGCGTAACCGAGATGTGAACGTACGAGAGCTAGGTAGATGGTTCGCCTTGTTGTTGTGTTGTGGATTGTCCGTGTGTTTCTCCTAATGTAACTTAGCTCTTTGTTTGCGCGAGCACACTGTTGGTTCACTTGTTTGTTCCATCCCTTTTAGCCCTAAAAGCTGTATATCTTTAATACGACTAAACACAATCAGTAGAAACCCTACATGGGTGTTTCATATTAATCTGACACTGCAATCGAGCAACGAAAAATTCGTTGGCTCGAGCGGGATTTGAACTCGCATCTTTGTTGTGGACAAATCTCGTGCTCATCATTCATTTTGAGCGAATTTATTTGATAGTGACAAAATTACATATAACATTTTAAAGTAAGTCATTATGCATGCGTGACGTAGAAAGTTGGTCCTTTGCATATCATACGAAATGAAATATCTCCAAAACGAAGCAAGAAAACAAAAATCTGACAAAGAAGTTACTCTACTGTTTTCGATGATCTTTCAAATTAGACTAAAAATTACAACGTCGATTTTCGAGTCATATGCCCTTTAATTGCGAAAAATGCAACCACATAGTCCAACCTCCGACAGGAATCGAATCCACGACCCTGCGATTCTGGTGCTGAGCTCTGAGCACTGGGCCAGTTTCCGAGAATTAGTCAATCAGAATTGTGTAATTTAATATTTTCAGGAAACATAGAAGATTTAAAACAGAATCAGCAATGTGACACGCTCGATCGCAGGAAGTCGGGAAAAAGTAAAAATGACAGAAATTATAATGTCGAGGTATGTAGGTCCCTAAAGCGCATTAGTTTTTTTCAGTGAAGTAATACGAGCCTCCAGCAATTACTGGTCAGTTGCATGAGAATTTTGGTTACATTTTAAGTGACGCCGCAGAATGTGAAGAAACAGCGGCTAAACGGCTTTTACGTTACATGAAATCAAACAGTGTCCAATACTAAAACAATATTTTATGAACGAGCGCAGCGAATAAGTAAAATATTGTTTTTAACACGAGCAGATAAAAGTCTTCTATCGTCAAGCCACCCAGTGGCGCCGTGGCCGGGGAGGGGCTAGGGGGGGCATGACCCCCTATTGTTGAAACCCGTCGGAAAATTGTCAATATTGTCGGAAAATTTCAAAGTTATCAACGGGAGGGGGGAGGTTTTAAAATGTTGTCTCAGGAAAAATTTTTGATTTGTCGGAAAATTTTTTTGGTTTGTCGGAAAAGTACTGCGCTTGACCCCTCCTAAAACATTGGTCCCACGGTGCCACTGATTAGCCACCGTGTAATGTTCTGTTTATTATATATAGTCCAAAGCAAAAAAAGGTGAAATTTCATGAGGCTAAAAAGCAAATTGGAAAAAGTCACGTGATCGATATCTTCACTTGTGAAGACATGGAAAATATCTCGCTGTGTATTTTTCAGTATCTCATTCTCTACTATATAATAATCCTGGATAATCGCCGCGAGCCTGAGGCGAATAATTATTTTAGTATTTTTACGCAAGTCTTTTGTGTTGCTGGAACTGAATTTATTTTAATATCGCTTATTTCTTTAACAGTAACTTCCACAAAACGGTTAGCCGCCATTTTGAAAATTCTAGTTTTGTGGGG